TTAAAATAGACAATTCCTGAAAAAATACAAATTACCAAAACTGACACAAGATGGAAAAGAAAATATAAATAGCCCAATATCTATTAAGGGATTGAGGTTGTAAGCAAAAAACTTCCCACAAGGAAAATTCCAGGCCCAGTGAATTTTATCAGATGTTTAAAGAAGACAAAGTACCAACCCTACATTATTTCACAAAATACCATGGGAAGAAATACTTCTAAATTCATTGTATGAGGCCAGCGTAATCCCGACACCAAAATTTGACAAGAATGTTTTATAAGAAAATTACCAGTATCCCTCATGAATATAGATATAAAAATTTTAAGACATTAGCAAATTGAACCTTGCAATATAGAAGATAAGATACCATGACCAAGGAGAGTGAGGTTAACACTGAAAAATCAATGTAATTCACCACATTAACAGAATGAAAGAGAAAACAAAATGATGGTCTCAATAGATGCAGAAAAAGCATTTGACAAAATTCAAAACCCATTAATGTTAAAAACTCTCAGCAAGTGAGGAATAGAAGGGAACTTCCTCGATCAGATAATGATCATCTTTCAAAAACTTAGTTGTAAGATATTAAATCCTTTTCCCCTAAGATCAGGAACAACAAATGTAAGAAAAGAATTTCTGCTCTCACCACTTCTATTTAAGATATTGGAGGCCTTAATTAATGCAATAAAACAATAAAACAAATAATGAAGATTGGAAAGACTCAGACTTCCTGATTTCAAAACTTGCTATGAAGCCACAGTAATCAATACTGTACTTGCATAAGGATAGAAGTACAGGTCAATGGAATATAATTGAGAGTCCAGAAATAAATTAAATTTATGGTCAATTGACTTTCAACAAAATGTCAGAACAATTCAATGGAGGAAAGCATAGATTTTTTCAACAAATAGTGGTAGAAAACCTGTATATCCACATGGAAATAAAAATGAAATTGGATCCCTACATCACACCATTTACAAATATTAAGATAAACCAAAGATTCAAATGTAAGAGCTAAAACTATAAAACTCTTAAAATATATATATAACTGTAAATCTTCATGACCTTGAGCTAGGTAGTGGTTTCTTAGATGTGACACAAAAAGCAAAACCAAGGGAAAAAATAAATTTCACTTCATCAAAATTAAAAACTTTTATGCTTCAAAGAACACTATCAAGAAAGTGAGCTGGGCACAGTGGCTCATGCCTGTAATCCCAGCACTTTGGGAGGTTAAGGCAGGAGGATTGCTTGAGCTAGGAGTTTAAGACCAGCCTGGGCCGATGAGCCAGACCCCATCTCTCTCTACAAGAAAAAAAAAACACACAGCCAGGCATGCCTGTAGTTCTAGCTACTGTGGAAGCTGAGATAGGAGGATCACTGGAGCCCAGGAATTCAAGGCCGCTGTGAGCTATGATTGTGCCACTGCAGTCCTGCCTTGGTGACAGAGCAAAACCATGTCTCAAAAAAAAATCCAGTTTTAAAATGGAAAAAAGATTTGAATAAACATTTCTCCAAAGAAGATATACAAATGGCCATAAGCACATGAAAAGATGTTCAACATTGTTAGTTGTTAGGGAAATGCAAATCAAACCATGAGATACCACTTGACTAAGATGGCTATAAAAAAAAAAAAAAAGATAAGAACACCAGTGTTCGGATGTGGAGAAACTGGAACTCTCATACCCTGATGGTGGGAATGTAAAATGGTGCAGCTGCTTGCAGAACAGTTTGGCAGATCCTCAAGGGTTAAACATTGAGTCACCATATGATCCAGCAATGCCACTCCTATATAATGCCACTTCCATATAAATTGGAAAATACGTTCACTCAAAAACTTGTATACAAATATTCATAGCAGCATTATTTATAATAACCAAAAAGTTGAAATCACACAAATGCCCATAAGCTGATGAATGAGTAAACAAAATGTAGTATATCCATACAGTGGAATACTGTTCAGCCATAAAAAGGGATGAAGTACTGATTCATGTTACAACACTGATGAACTTTAAACACATTATATGCTAAGTCAAAGCCACATATTGCATGATTCCATTTATATGAATGTCCAAAATAGGCAAATCCATAGGGAAAGAAAGTAGATTAGTGGTTGTCAGGGATTGGGGACTGAGGCAATGGGGAGTGACTGCTAATAAGTATAATGGGTTTACGTTTGGAGTGATGAAAATGTTCTGGAATTAGTGGCAGTGATTGCACAACTTTGTAAATATACTATAAACCATTGAATTTAACACTTTAAAAGTGACTTTTATGGTACACAAATTATATCTCAACTTTTTTAATGGGAAGAAAAGTACAGTAGTCCCCTCTTATCCATGGGGGATATGTTTCAAGATGCCCAGTGGATGCCTGAAGTCACGGATTGTACCAAACGCTATATACACTATATTTTTCCTATACATACCTGTCTATGATAAAGTTTAATATATAAATTAGGCATTGTAAGAGAGTAACAATAACTGATAATAAAATAGAACTCTTATAAACAGTTACTGCATGTGTGAGAGATAAAAAAGTTATCTCTCAAGATATGTTGTTGTATTATACTTACCTTTCTTGTGATGATGTGAGATGATAAAATGCCTACATGATGAGATGAAGTGAGGTGAATGATATAGGCACCGTGATGCAGTTTTAAGCTATTGTTGACTTTGAACACAAGCACTGTGATACCAATCTGATAACCAAGACAACTATTAAGTGACTAACAGGTGGGTAGCATATATAGCA